GATATAACCGCGGGTGACGCCACGAGGTGAAGCTAGTCTTAAAAAAGCCTAAGTTATATGTATATACCATCAGCTACCTATCAGTGAACGTCTCGTCAAAATCGGTCCAGCCGTTCCAGAGATTAGCCGGAACAAACAGACAAAAATTGTAAAAAAATTATTTTGGTGTATGTGCCGTATATATATTCATATGCATGTAGCAAAAGCGGTTATTTCAATATTACAAACAGACACTCCAATTTTATTTATATGTATAGATAGCAGTCTCGCGATGTTACCCGCGGTTATTGTCGTACCGCGGGGCGAAGCTAGTCTAAAAAAAGTAGCCTAAGTTACTCCTTATATCATCAGCTACCTATCAGTGACAGTCCCGTCAAAATCGGTCCAGCCGTTCCAGAGATTAGCCGGAACAAACGAACACAGATAAAATAATAAAAAATATTTTGGTGTATTTACCGTATAAATATTCATAAGCATGTAGTAAAAACAGGCCAATTCAATATTACGAACAGACACTCCATATAGATTTAGGTTGTAGTAGTCTACACAATGGTCTATGAAATCCATTAAACACAAACTAGACAGGCCTGTAAAGTCTCGTCACCCATCAAAGCAATAGGAAAATTAAACTCTTAGGAAAATTGTAAATAAAAACCAAAGTCCAGTAAATATTATTTATTTATGTACCAAATTGAAGCATAGTAAGTTGATATAAATAAAGGTCTACGATAATGTGAATTATTTAGGTCTAAACAGACAGCTAGCGAACTAGTAGAAATAAAAATGTAATAGCAAAAATGCAACAATGAACATACTAATAATGCATGGAAATAAATGCAATAACCAGTTCGCTACATCAATAGCAATATTTTATTAAATAATTGGAATGACCCATATTTCATTTAAATTATTCTTTACTGGGAAGGTATTTTTATCTATCAGGAGGACTTAGTGTTTAACTTAAAATATTGCAGTTTGTTTTAAAGTTAATGATTTAAATTAGGCAATCTGACCACAGTCTTTGATAACGATTCTCTTAGAGGTCTTCCCAGACTGGCTGCCAAAGGTCTCAATCTGCTTGACAACTTCCATGCCTTCAACAACATTCCCAAAGACAACATGTCTGCCATCCAGCCAGGACGTCTTGACAGTGGTGATGAAGAACTGGGAACCATTAGTATCAGCACCGGCATTAGCCATGGAGAGAACGCCAGGTCCAGTGTGCTTAAGGGTGAAATTCTCGTCCTCAAACTTATTGCCGTAGATGGACTTTCCCCCAGTGCCGTTATGGTTGGTGAAGTCCCCTCCTTGCAGCATGAAATTGGGGATGACACGATGGAAAATGGAGCCCTTGTAACCGAAGCCTTTCTCGCCAGTGCACAGGGCACGGAAGTTTTCACATGTCTTGGGAGTGACGTCACTTCTCAGCTGATTACAAAACAATACAAAAATGTTAAGATTTGATGTGAAATTTACTGCAAAAACTATTTGTAGTGGACACATTTGGTTTAAGTTTCGAAGGTATGTAGGACAGGGGCGTGCCGCTTCATAACAGGAAAATGTTCTTCGCATCATGTCCTTTAATAGCTTCATAAATTAATTAGATAATGTAAGAAATGCATTAATTGCAATTTGAAGTGCATCGTACCTACTTCAAAACCTGCAGACGCGTGACCTTCATTCGCTTAACGAATACCTACACTTAAAATCTTCCATGCGAGAATTAGGACATTGATCATATATCTATTTATAGTATCTGACTATGAGTTATTGATTAAGAAAGAATGATTTTCTAGATTTAAAAATGTAAAAGTCCTAATAATTTACGCTTTTGAAACCAAGTTCCAGATCAAATTTACAAGGGCGTCTCGCGTAGCGTGGTCTGCGAACGTCACGCCGGCCGGGACATCCGAATTAAAGATCAAAACCAAATTATGAGATATACAGCACATACCTCAATAACAATTTTTCCCAGTGGGGCATCGTCAACAGTGACGTCGAAGAATACTCGTGGTAGAGACATTTTGCCGGTATTAGCAAAGTAAGCAATTTAGAAAACCACCACAATGACAATGCGTCTCTCGTCAATGCCGGGCGGAAACAGAAATGAAAGTGTCTATGGAAATTATCCAAGTTCATAAACTATAGAATAATACAGACTATCCAAGGCTCTAGAAGCTACCAGAAGCGACATGAATAGCTATTTCCGTGAAATGTTCTTAAGATTACTTTAAAGTATTTTTTATTAAGGCGATTTGTAATAATTAAACTATTCTGCCAGTTCATTATCGCGTTATGATTATTTTACAGAATTTCCTAATAATAGTGTTTTTAAATATCCCAACAGACATTACATTTTTTGCAGGTACTCTCACGGTGCATTTCATTAAAAATGCGCGAAGATTAGTAATAGACTTATAAAAAAACTGTCCGTAATCATAGACGTCAAGTTTTGACTAATAAATAACATTATGTAGGTCTGTAGAAGTTGATAGCATGTGTTTTTTTTCCAAGCACTCATTCAATTTAAGATTCATTTAATCAGATCAGATTTAGATATTTTTTATCCTGACTCAAATTATAGGTATTTAAAACAAGCGACCAACAAGAGACTGCACACCTACCCTAAGATCTATTTTTCTAAAACGGAGACATAAAGGCCAGCACCTTAAATAACACAGAAGTATTCATCAAAAAAAAAAATTGTGGCTTTTGTATCATCATCAAACCGCACAATTACATATGTCGGTGGCACAGGTAGTTAGAAGATTAGTGATAATTGAACAGATAATTGCCACACAGTGATCTGCAGCTGTAATGCTTGCTTGAATGCTCAGTTATTCGGGAAAAGGTGACTAACCCATAGACACAACTCACTGAGATTCTGGTGGGATCTTATAAGGGGTTCGGGATTCCAATCTGATGGTAAATTCTGCGAAGCATTGCTGTTGATAGCTATTAGCTAGGGTTAGCAAATTCTCTCAGGTTGAGCTGCGAGCTCACTTACCCGCCCGAGTGGAGCTGGAATGGCCCCTTAGGCGACCAGTGGATAGATAGGGAAAAAAAATGTATGCGACTTTATTTACAACAGTTTCATGATTAATCAGGAAAGCACTAAACAAAATTGAAGTAATATCAGTAATCGCACGGATTACCGTCGAAGTAAGATTTAAAGTCAGCTATGTCAAATTTAATAAAATAACTTGAAAAGAAGCAAAAACATGTAGAAGTGTTAAAATGAACAAGTGCGGCTGCTTGTATTCGTTTTCCTATTTCCTAAACTCTAGCGGTTACCGCTGCAGTTTAACCGTAGTGCGGATTAGGCCTTAAGTGCCTTATTCACGATCCATCTTGCTGTACGTCCCGCCAAGGCCATGCACGATGCACGATGCAAAAGGATCATGAATAGGCTTGACGTACGTCGATAATTATTATTAATTGCGGCCTTGAGCTGACGTACAGCCGTGATGGATCGTGAATAAAGCGCTAAATGCATCGTGCATCGTGCATGGCCTTGGCGGGACGTACAGCAAGATGGATCGTGAATAAGGCNCGATCCATCTTGCTGTACGTCCCGCCAAGGCCATGCACGATGCACGATGCAAAAGGATCATGAATAGGCTTGACGTACGTCGATAATTATTATTAATTGCGGCCTTGAGCTGACGTACAGCCGTGATGGATCGTGAATAAAGCGCTAAATGCATCGTGCATCGTGCATGGCCTTGGCGGGACGTACAGCAAGATGGATCGTGAATAAGGCACTTTACATTTCATTGTATCACACATGTTAGGATAAATAATATCGCTCGATAAGAATGCACCGGTGTTAGAATCCCGCTGGCGGGTACCAATTTTTCTAATGAAATACGTACTCGAAAAATGTTCACGATTGACTTCCACGGTGAAGGAGTAACATCGTGCAATAAAAATCAAACCCGCAAAATTATAATTTGCGTAATTACTGGTGGTAGGACCTCTTGTGAGTCCGCACGGCACGGGTAGGTACCACCGCCCCGCCTATTTCTGCCGTGAAGCAGTAATGCGTTTCGGTTTGAAGGGTGGGGCAGCCGTTGTGACTATACTGAGACCTTGGAACTATATCTCAAGGTGTGTGGCGCATTTACGTTATAGATTTCTATGGGCTCCAGTAACCACTTAACACCAGGTGGGCTGTGAGCTCGTCCACACATATAGGCAATAAAAAATAAAATAAAAAAACTATCATTCTCATTAAGTGATTGTGTGCTCTATGTTTTACAATAATCATATATACTGACTTTTTGGAGGGGCTTTTTGGCGAGAACGCGAGGGGCGAAGTTAAGTATCTGTGATTGTGCACAAATGTGGGAAAATGAAACAAAGCCGGTGGACGTAGCTTCTCGGGATCTTACAAAAGATATTATATTTCATCCCATATCATCTCATTTCACTTCATTTCATTTCATATTATTTTTCATATAAAAAATATTTCATTAGAATTAAAATAGACTTGATCTTAAAGGTCTTAGCTACCAAGTCATAAAATCTAGTCAAAAAAAAATCAGGACTTTTTGGCGGGAACGCGAGGAGTGAAGTCGTGTGATTTGTTTTGTCTATTTAGTGTTTCTTCAGGTTTAAATGTGTAATAACGTTGGTTTATTGACTGTTTAGTATGATATATACTATAAAGTGCACAAATGTGGGAAAATAAAACAAAGCCGCTGGACTGCTTCTCGAAATTATCCAAAAAGTTCACTAACAAAGTCTCAGTAAACAACCACCATTTTACTGACATTATATTTCATCCCAGTTGATTAATGTCTCAGAATAATCATCTTCATTTCATTTGATCTCATTTCTTTTCACTCATTATCATTTTTCATAAAAATAAGAATTTAAATGAAATAAAACGTGACCTAAAAGTCTTAGTTACCAGGTCATAAAATCCCTTAAAAAAATAATAATGTTAAAGTGATAAATCTCGAATATATTAAGTGTATAATCTATGGTGATAAACGTAAGCAAAGCAATGTGCGTGTGCGTAGTAATTTTCTAACATTTTTCATTAATTAGCACAAGTAATCATTATGCATAATTAAATGCATACTCAAATTAAAACTCCAATACAATAACTTAAATATGTCTAAAAATTTCTTCCAATGGTTTAGTATTAAAAATTAAATATTTTGACTAGATAAGATGAGTTTAGAATCCATAAAATATACTAGAGGTAGTCTAGAGATCTTAGATCAATTATTATTGCCTTTACAAACGAGATATATCAAAGTGCGAGGTGTTGAGGATGGTTGGAAAGTAATAAATAAAATGCAGGTGAGTTAAATGTCCATTCAATTAACAAGAACAACAGTAAAAGTTATTATTATTATTATTACTACAGACATTAATATTAAATATATCTCACAGCGTTCATTGTACAAAAATGTAATAATAGTACACTACTTTAGCTGCATGATGTAATTTATAAGTCAAAAATTACTGTCTCAAGGTGGGTGTTGTATATGGGCTTCAGTAACCAATTAGGGCAATGATAATATTTGTGCATCTAAAAATGCTTTAGATCCACAAATATTATCATTGCCTTTAAATTGTATTCGATATACTGTTCCACTATCGATTCTATATACTATTATAGATTCAATCTCAATCAATTAAACCACTTTATGCCATGTTAATAACAATTGTACTTTGTAACAATGATAAGATCCTAATGAAAAACTACAATGAATAATGCTCAGAATAATATCATAAAAAAATATTTCTCAGGTCCGTGGAGCACCAGCCATAGCCATAGTGGGTTGCTTATCACTAGCGGTTGAATTATCACCTGACAATGAATCTTCAAAAAAAAACATGAGGCAAGAGGTCAGAATGTTTGACTTCATCGTACTGATAACATTTTATAAAGGAAATAGCTTTGTAAACTAACCTAACATTCCATATCTTTAGAAAATCAATTAAGTCACAGTTACACAATTTCAACACTGTCTAAAAATTAAAGCAGGATCACAATGAAAATAACTCACTTTGTTTCATATGTATTCACTGTCGTAATTATCTCTTTGCACTGGAGAAGCATCAATATGATGCTCGACAATTTATTGCAGATTGTACTGGTGGACTATCACCATTATTAAATGATTTCCAGCTCTAAGCCAGCATGGCTTTTTGATATCTCTGCTCCTTTCTACTATGAACCAATGCTCACAGTTTGAAGGGCAGCACTTGTATCAATATAAAAGAGACTTCAATCTTACACACATCAATATACAATCCAATGCATCAGTGTAAATGTCATCAATGTATGTAATGTCTGGTTTTCATTTTTTGGTTCTCATTGTCCGTATCTACAGTCTATGATAACTGCTTCACACTAGGTAAGCTATCCATCTTTTAGGCAAATAAGACTGATGGGGATTTTATTACAACAGACACAGAAAAGCAACACAAAAACTATCATTACTCATATTAAATATTTTCTTCAGGTGTGTAGAGTACATTAGTATGTTTCTAAAATTGAATAATGTTGCTATTTACAGATTGAAGGTAAACTTAACTATCTGGTGTCTGCCAGGCCAACAGCTGTAAATATAAAATTGGCAGCTGATGAGCTTATAAATTTGGCAAATACACTTTGTGCTGAAGACAGTATCTCAGCTGAAATTTTTAAAGAAAGGTTTGTTTTGATAATGTTATCTTTGATTTTTTTGATATTTTGTTTTTATTGTTAATAATTAGTTCTAAATTAAGATTACTGCTGTTTAGAAGACATGGTCTATTATACTTTGGAATTGGTTGTTTACATTATGCATTTGCTAACTATATCTTTTCTTTGTTAATTCAAAAATGGGTGAACACAGTTCCGGTCTCCAGTTTGTATGTGTTCCTTGTACTATGGATCGTAAACATATCATAAAATCCAGAGATCACCTTGAGACCAAAGACCAAAGTCTCAATATAACATATATCTCTTTACGAATGAATCAAAAAAGCCTAGAGTTATTTTTCAAGGCAGAAAAGGATGAGATAGTCATATATTATATGCCTTTTTATCTTATCTCCAATATTTTTTAGAGTAGCAATGTTTGCTGTCATGGCAGAAGATATATTAGGAGATATATTTTCATAATGCTATTGTACACATTAAAACTGGTTCATTTAGAATTATAATTTTTTTCTAAGGCTGTATATTTCAGGTTTATAGGCAGCATAGAGGATATGCTCACTAAAGATATACATGATAACAAAGCAATAGGAAGTTTTGGATGTGAAGCTATATTAAAAAATATAGATGGTGATAGTCCAGTCAGAGTGCTTACACACTGTAATACAGGATCCTTAGCTACAGCCGGATATGGCACTGCTTTAGGAGTTATCAGATCATTACATGCCACTAAAAGATTAGGTAAATATTTTTTGTAGGTATTTTATGCACTTTTTTAATTTATTTTTTAGATGGGTGGATGAGCTCACGGCCCACCCGTTGTTAAATGGTTACCTGAGCCCATAGATATCTACAGTGTAAATGACGCCACCCACTTTGAGATATGAGTTCTAAGGTCCAGTATAGTAACAACGGCTGCCCCACCCTTCAAACCGAAACGCATTACTACTTCATATATAGAAATAGGCAGGGTGGTGGTACCTCTCATGCGGACTCAAGACGTCCTACACGAGTAAATCCTACAATAACTAATGTTATAAAAATTCACAGAGCATGTCTTCTGCACTGAGACAAGGCCATATAATCAAGGAGCAAGACTGACTGCATATGAACTAGTCCACGAGAAAATCCCTTCTACATTAATTGTAGATAGTATGGTCTCTGCTCTTATGCACACCAGGAAAATACATGCAGTCATTGTTGGTGCTGACAGGGTAAGTGAACATGTATTTGTAAGCATGTGGACTTTTCATTTTTCAATGCACTAAGCATACAATAAATAAATCTAGCGTTAGGGATGATGGTCGAATTTCAATTATTGACCGAAGATTAGTAAATATGTTATACATAAATATCTACTGGTAAAAACAACAATTCAATTATTAGTTTAAGTGAATATTGATCGATTGTTAGATAATCAGATTAAATAATAGAAACTTCCACTTCTAGTCAGTAATAGAACCAAAATATTTATACTTATATCATAGTGATTATAACTACCTTGATACTGCTGAATACAAATCTGTAAGTATTATCTTAATACTCCGATGTTTCAACAGAATCAATATTGATCTGAACTCTAATCGAAACTGAATAGATATCCTAGTTTAAGTTCATAATTTTATTTCTGAAAACAGGTTGCTGCTAATGGGGATACAGCAAATAAAATTGGAACGTATCAAATAGCTATTGTAGCAAAATATCATGATGTACCCTTCTACGTAGCGGCTCCGCTCACATCCATAGACATGTCTTTACCATATGGAGAAAAAATTAAAATTGAAGAACGGCCCGATAGGGAAATGACTCATATTGGAGAACATAGAATAGCTGCACCAGGTAATGTATTTTTTTTTTTTTATTATTAAAATATTGTTGGTTTCATGGTTCCATTATCAACAGCAAAACAAAAGGAATGTTGATGTCACAAAATTTCCCATGTCTTAATTATTTATTATGATACAGAATCAAAGGATTAAATTAGCAAAATGGGTGTAGGTTTAAATCGCAACAGAACATTTTATTGGATTCATAAAATAGAAATTCTGGGATATTAACATAAATTTTTTGGCAATCTATAATAATAGGCTCCCGGCCTATCTGCTGTTGTAATATAAGCAAATATATATATATAATAAATATAAGCAACATGTGAGTAAGGGAATGTGAAGTCTCAATTGTACACATTAATGATTTCCATAAGTATAAAATGAAAGCTGTACCTCAATAAACAGGCTTTATATTGAATCTTTTATTTCTACACCACATATACAATAAATTAGAGTTTAAACTATTTCCAGTCTTATCAGTTTTTTTTTCAATTTAGTAAGTTTATACATCTTAGAGTTCATCTATTAATTTACAGGCATAAATTGCTGGAACCCTTCATTTGACGTAACACCGGCATCTCTAATAGCAGGCATCATAACTGAAAAAGGTGTATTTGCTCCTGACAATCTAAAAAGTGTTAAAACCACGTAACGGTAAAAAATACTATAACATAATATATATATAAACGCGAGATTACTTCGTAAAAGTAGTTTTAATTATGCCTTCGACTCGTGAAAACCGAAGAAAATACTATACACGTATATAAGACGTTCCTGTAACCTAAGTGTAATTAATAATTTAAGCTCAAAATCAAATTAACATCTAATGTTGTAAAAGATCCTTAATCAAAGCCAAATTTTATAATAAAGTGATTATCGAAAATTTAAGTCATATTATTTAATTAAATAATAAAACGGCAAGCGCGCCGTGGGCAGAACACGAGCCAGATGGTCAGATCAGTGTGCTTAGTGCGAGTTTTTTAACGTTCTCTCGATAGCGTAAAAATTACTAGAATTTGTATGTTTTTATTGGTGGTAGGACCTCTTGTGAGTCCGCGCGGGTGGGTACCACCGCCCTGCCTATTTCTGCCGTGAAGCAGTAATGCGTTTCGGTTTGAAGGGTGGGGCAGCCGTTGTAACTATACTGAGACCATAGAACTTATATCTCAAGGTGGGTGGCGCATTTACGTTGTGGATGTCTATGGGCTCCAGTAACCACTTAACACCAGGTGAGCTGTGAACTCTTGCTTAATAAAGAAAATAAAAAATAACATAAAAAAAATGCAATTTGGACATTGCCCCTAGCGGCAAACGTAGGCAAATGCTCGAACTCAAAGTTTTTTTTTTTTCGGGTCGGGGATCGAACCTCCTACGAGGTCCCCGCGCTTAAGGGGCGCGCGGGGTATGGTGGACTTCACGATCAGCAAAGTGTTGGGAGCAGATCGCGGGCCCAAGGAATTTTGGGGCCCCCATCGACTAAACGACTCCCCTGCACTCTTACACCCGACGTCCGATCTCCGTCCGGGGTCAAAACCCGGTCAGAGTAGGGGGGTTCCCGTGGTCAACACGACAACCAGACACGCGGCGCCACCCTGAGGACGCCTGACCGACGGGTCGTCGAGGCGATAGTCGACGACCAACGACGTCGGTCTCCGCGGTACGGCGGCCCTACCAGGCCGCCTGGGCGATGCCACTGGTGTTCCGGGATACCCCGCTGGGCTAGAACCAGCCTGCCGGGTCGGAACGCACAGTTGCCAGATGGGGGGGATTCCCTGCAAATTCGGGGGGTTTTTCGACCTTGGGGGGGAAATTCGGGGAGAAAGATTCTTTGGGGGGACATTCGGGGGGGAAAGTTAGTTGGGAGAAATTTCGGAGGTTTTTTGAGTATCAATTTGCAATTACTATTAGAATAATTATAGTCTACTATACTATTCACAGTTCAATATTATAAAGGACAAATTATGCAACCAAATAGCAATAGAAACTGCCGAAGCGGTTCTCAGGATTCGATTTTCACTGCCAAATAGATGCATAAATTTTGTTCCCACATCGGACATGTTAAATATCTTTAACTTCGAAAACGAGTATGCTTTAAATAATAAGAACGAAAGTGAATATGATCGTGATAATTGTTTAGAGATGGTTGAAGTTATAGGGATAGCTTGGTTAAAAAATAAAAGAATCCTTTTGGTTTTTTTTTTCTTCTTTATAATAAGTAAAAACTGTTTTGGGGGTTTTTTCTTCAAAAAGCCTATTTTCGGGGGGTTTTCGAAAAAAGTTGGGGGGAAATTCACACGGTCATCTGGCAACACTGTCGGAACGCGATACACCGCCGACCGGGTTGATACAAGTCTGAGCTAACTTTTACGCTATCGAGAACGTTTAAAAAACTCGCACTGAGCACACTGGTTAAGAAAGCGGTTGGTGATCGTCTATACCGTGCGGTCCGTGCCACCCATGACCGAATACTATGAAACTTCACAGAATGTCGTCGTCGTGGCCTAAAGGATAAGACATCCGGTGCATTCGTATCTAGCGATGCACCAGTGTTCGAATCCCGCAAGCGGGTACCAATTTTTCTAATGAAATATATACTTAACAAATGTTCACGATTGACTGCAACGGTGAAGGAATAACATCTAGTAATAAAAGTTAAACCCGCACAATTCTAATTTTCGTAATTACTGACCCCACTGCTCGTCAACATTCGCAACATCTTGCTTTTTCTTAAAACATGAGGTCAGCGAATGGATCTTTATTATGAGATAGTGGATGAACCACACTAATTCTTTTATTATTTTTCATGAGCTTCAAGTTTTCGGGCAAGCTGATTTTCAGTTCATGAATCAAACTTACAATGAACTCGTTGGAAGTCACTTTATCTTGATTTTCCTATATTTTATCCGTCCTTAATTCCTATGGAACTACATTTCAGTGAAAAGCACAAAACTCTGGCAAAAAAAAGTTTGATCTTGGGGTCAGTTCATATTGAAAACAACCCAGATCTCGTTCATTTAGAAGACTTGGTAGCATATTATGTGTATTATCTATGCTTGATAGTGACAGATTCACTGCCTTTTTTAGTATGTACAACACCAACATCATCGTCAATATCGCCACCATCACCGAGTCAGAATCTATTACATTTTGTGATCATTTATCGTCAAATGATGGAAGTGATTACAAACCACCCAGCCCTGATGCAATAAGCTCTGATTCTGGAAATATTCAATCAAATATTGAAAAAAACTCAACCAGAAAGTTAGAAAAAAAGCTACCAAACGATTGCGAACGGAGGAATCAGAAGGTGAAAAGTATAGTACTAATTACGAAACTCCGAGTCCTAGGGCCTATATGTTTCTGTAGAACATTTTTGTAACATTGCCTTATTTTCGATCTCATTACAGTCTGTTTTTTTTTTAATAATAAATAGTTTTTTAATAATAAATTCAATGAACAGCTATAAATTAACGAGGTATAAAAAATAAAATTTATGTAATATGAAGAAACTATGCGAAACTCCTTTACAATCTTTTTTTAAAACATAATTGTTTTACACGATGTGCCATTAATTTATGGAGAGTAGGGTAAAGAGAACCATCCAGAAAAAGTGAGGTGAATGAAGTTAGCCCCTCAAAAAATTTTTTTTTTCCTATTTTATACTTATTTTCTATTAATTCGTTTGTTCATCATTTGTTCATGATTGTTCACTGTTAATAATTGTTTGTTCTGCAGTTATTTCTTTAAAAAAAATATTTAAAAATATACCTACAAGTTAGCCCCTCTAATGCAATTTTTTATATTTTTTCATCCTTAATGACTCGTAAATATTCATTTTCGATTGTTCTTATATAAAACACGTTTGTTCTCTTTCGAAATTACTCGTTTTTTTTTTAGTTTACTATTTTCATTAGTTGAATAAATGTATGCAAAATATGTGTACTGCGCATGCGTCAACTATAATGCCTAAACTTTCTACGCGGTTTTAATCGTGAAAAAAAAACAAACATAAATCCTGAAGGAGCAATTAATTGGTATACAGTTTCATTAAAAAAATTAAAAAATAAATAAATGAAATAATGTGCATTGGCGTTAAGTTAGACCAAATACATTTTTTCCATCCTCTTACCTATCGTATTAAAATGTTATTTTACTAATGTTAGGAATATAATTTCGACTGTGTAAAAAAGTTATTATAATGTATACCTATATTATCTCTTGAAAGATAAATAATGAACATATTTACTTATTTGTTTATATTACCTATGTGAACTCCCTATCTTTTTTATACCTTCATAACGATAAGTAGGAGGATGGAAAAAATGTATTTGGTCTAACTTAACGCCAATGCACATTATTTCATTTATTTATTTTTTAATTTTTTTAATTAAACTGTATACCAATTAATTGCTCCTTCAGGATTTATATTTGTTTTTTTTTCACGATTAAAACCGCGTAGAAAGTTTAGGCATTATAGTTGACGCATGCGCAGTACACATATTTTGCATACATTTATTCAACTAATAAAAATAGTAAATTAAACAAAAAACGAGTAATTTCGAAAGAGAACAAACGTGTTTTATATAAGAACAATCGAAAATGAATATTTACGAGTCATTAAGGATGAAAAAATATTAAAAATTGCATTAGAGGGGCTAACTTGTAGGTATATTTTTAAATATTTTTTTTAAATAAATAACTGCAGAACAAACAATTATTAACAGTGAACAATCATGAACAAATGATGAACAAACGAATTAATAGAAAATAAGTATAAAATAGGAAAAAAAATTTTTTTTGAGGGGCTAACTTCATTCACCTGAAAAAGTTTCCGTTAAAATCTGCTAAATAAAAGTGGCGCTATAGTAGCAGCCGGGTAAATTTAAAGAAAGGCGCTAAAAGTTATTAAAATAAGATAGAGAAATAAAAAAGGACGAAAGAACTGTAAGCACTACAAATTACTACAAAATCACAAAAACTATTTTATTTAATGATGATAAGAAAATGCAATCGATGTCTACACGTTTTACCACAGTAAAATTTTTAGGTTATATTGGCGAAATTAGTTAGGACTCCGCTTAGAATAATTACACATGTGTAATTATTCTAAGGGACTACGTAAACATGTGAGGTCTTGCATATTATACTGTCACTAACTACTCTAATTATATATAAATATGTTAAAAATAATATATTAATAAATATATTAAATTTCCTAACTCAGCATACTTCAATCGGTTAACAACTGCTCAATTCATATAATACCCTGTGCCTATGCTAGCGCCATTCTGGGGGATTTTTGAACTGTTATGTAGTGCTGAAAGTGAAACACTTTTTCAAGCTTCTACCATATGAGACGGTTCTCCTTACCTCTACCCTCCATACACTAATATTACATAATGTGTATTATCTTTATAAGTGCAATGCAATAATAATTAAGCATGGAATTATCCTTAGGGACATCTTTTTTTTAAGGAATTTTATGACCAGGTAACTAAGACCTTTAGGTCATGTCTTATTTTAATTTATATTCTTATTTATAGGATTATATTTTATACATGATTATTTATGATTTATGGAGTAAAACGAAATGAAATGAAGATGATTAATTTGAGACATTAATCAGCAGGATGATATCAGATGAGAGTTTAAGGAATGACATATAATCTCAGTAAAATGGTGGTCATTTACTAAGATTTTTTCAGTGGACTTTTTGGAGGATCCCGAGAAGTTACGTCCAGCGGCTTTGTTTCATTTTCCCACATTTATGCACTTTCACAGATATTATACGATTAATAAATCACCGTTATTACACATTTAAACCTGACGACTAAATAGACAAAATACAACAAATCACACAACTGCACTCCTCGCGTTCGCGCCAAAAAGTCCTTTAGGGACGTCTTTTTTTTAAGGGATTTTATGACCTGGTAACTGAGATCTTTAAGTCATGTCTTATTTTAATTTATACTCATATTTTTATGAAAAATTATATTATGGAGTGAAATTAAATGAAGATGATTAATTTGAGACATTAATCAACTGGGATGAAGTTAAATGAAATGAGATGAGATGATATGGGATGAAATATAATCTCAGTAAAATGGTGGTCATTTACTGAGATTTTTTCAGTGGACTTTTTGGAGGATCCCGAGAAGTTACGTCCAGCGGCTTTGTTTAATTTTCCCACATTTGTGCACTTTCACAGATATTAAGCAGTTAATATCTGTGAACCACCATTATTACACATTTAAACCCGAAGAAACACTAAATAGACAAAATAAAACAAATCACACAACTTCACTCATCGCGTTCCCGCCAAAAAGTCCTTTAGGGACGTCCTAGTCGATTTTAGTACAGACTATAAACAGTTTTCAACCACATCACTTATCAGTAACGTACCTACCTAATTAACGTGGAATTCGACTCGGCGTGTAAATAATATAGTCTAGTAATGACTTTCGTTTATTATATTGCCAGTTGTTCGATAAATGGATGTTTTGTTCTGAGGATTTACTAAACAGATTAATACGTTTGAGTGATCTCTATTGTGAAACAATTTTAGGGTGCTTCTTTGCCCTCACTTAGTATCACAACACCGCAACCCGTGCGACCCACCGCAAGCCATGTCTTTGAAGGTTCTAGTGTTCAAAAAATACATAAACATGCATTGCGCAACACTCTTAAAGAACTTCAAGAGGAAGGTCTCAGAATGTTTTTTATTCTTAATTTGTGGGGCACGCCGTCAAATTAAAGAGTTCTCGTGAAAATTGTAATAGTCTATGATCTTAATCAAAACTGTTTTCAACAAATATTTTATCTGTGCGATTCTGTGCCTATTTTCCAATATGTCAGGCATCGGGGGAGTCGAATATTTATTTTAATTTGTTTTAATTTTAATGACAGAAGTAGATAAATATGTAATAAATTTAAGTTTTAAAAAAAATGTGGAATTGTTATCCGTTAGCTAAATACATAATACATAATATAGAATAGTTGAATTGTTTCTGTTAAATGCAAATAGTATACGTTTTGTGTTGATATTTATTGTTTCGTGAAGTTGTCTCCCCTCAACAATGGTGTAATGATTTCGATGGTTACAGTAAACGGAAAATAGTGGTGTTTATAAGTTTTAATGTAATGTAAATAAAAAATATTGGTCATACGCGCATGCGTTCATCTCGAAAACAGACAAAGGTTTTGTGTGTGGTTTTGAAAATCAGCTGTATTTTATGTGCAATGAGTTAGCGAATCAAAAAGTGTTAAAAAGTTACAATGTTTAGTGAAATTGGATACATTACATTTCTTCTACTTGCTTTACCATACATTGAAAGTGGTGAGTACATTCTTTTTTACATTCCTGTACAGATCATTTACCACAACAGGCCATTGCCAACTCAATACCTACAAAATTTCATACCTAAAACTCATTAGTAGTAATCTGTTCCTATTTATCATTTGTAATTAAAATTACAACTAATATAAAGTCAAAAACCAAGATTTTTAATTTAGACTCAATATTATCTTATTTTATGCCTCAAAATCCTTCTCAGAAAAATCACAATAATTGTCATTCTCAACAAATCTCTCAAAAAAAGAATGCCAACTCTGAATTTTACCATAATTTTAGTATTAAACTGATGAACTACTACTAGAATATTATTACCTGATTTGAGGAGAAAATGAAAGCTAGAAAAATATATAAATAAAATAAAACTATGACTATATACATTTAAGATTCTGATTTTGAAAAGCCACAAGTAAGTATACTTATTACAATGTGTCTAGTTTAATTCATTTCTATAATACATTTATTTACACCTAGGTTATTAGTTTCTTGTTGTTTTGAAAAAAAGTTCCATATTCAATTGTCCCATAAAAAACAAGCACATTCCATTGTGTTTTCAATAATACTGATTTGAGAACACTGAAGCCTATTGCTTTAAACCCTTGACAATCAACTAACTTTTACTAAAATACTTTCTTCTTTCTATATTTTTAATTAATTTATATTTTATAGACTCTAATAGTATGTTAACAAATTAGTAAAAAAGAACTTATCACATATATTACTTTACAGGAATTTGATTTATGAAACCATATTTGCTGGTATTTTCGTTCTTTGATATTAGCTGAGATGTGAGTAAAAAGAGACAAAGACAAAAAATAATTTAGAATTCTATAAAGTGTTTAAGGTCTTTCAAAGTATTGCTTTGTGTTCAAAACACTCAAAAACACTTACCTTATACTTTTAAAATAGAATGGATAAAATCCCTGAAATGAGTGAATTGTGGGTAGAAAGCTTATCATGTTTGAAAGAAGAAGTATGAAAATCAATTTTAAAGCCTCTATTATAAGGTTTAGGGAAAAATACTACAGATAATACATATATAACTACTGTGATTTACTTTCAACTAAATTCAATTCAATTGTCAATTACCCCTGCAAACTTGGGATTGGGTTGTAAATTTTCCCATCAAATACGACAAGCAATTTTTTATTTCAAGGTTAGTTAGAATATAACATTAATTTAAAATTTTGCACCTTCATAAGAGTTTTTTAACTGTTGCTAACTATTGTGTGATCTTGGTAGGCGAACCTACCTAATGTGAGTGTACCATTCATGGATTTAGATCATACATTTTAAATTACTAAGAATTCAGTCATTATAAGATACAAAACTAAACTTTCTCATACAAGGACTTGCTAAAATGCTCTTCATGTTAAGCCTGAAATCAGTTCTGATTGTAATATCTATCATAAATCTGTGGTCGTAGTTACCTAGATTCGCGTAAAAATATTTGGTGGCCTTATTGATTGTCTAGCAACAATGAATGTACACTGGAATTGATGTTCATTCATCTATCAAAAACTTTTGTTTTAAATTGGATAAATTGCGCAATTTTGTACAATACGATATCTTGCACATTCAAGGGTAATGAGTCATTCCTAGAGCTATGTAATCGAAATTATGAGCTGAAATACCATTTTAGTGGATTGAATTTTTAATTTCAATTATTGCTAAGTTGGGTGGATGAGCTCACAGCCCGCCTGGTGTTAAGTGGTTACTGAAGCCCATAGATATCTACAGCGTACATGCGTCACCCACCTTGAGATATAAGTTTTAAGGTCTGATGTATACTTACAAAGGCTGCCCCACCCTTCAAACCGGAACGCATTACTGCTTCACGGCAGAAATAGGCAGGGTGGTAGTACCTGTGCGGGCTCACCAGAGGTCCTACCACCAGTAATTATGCAAATTATAATTTTGCGGGTTTGATTAATGATAATTTGATACATGTAAAAAATAAAGTTTGATTTTTGTATATGAGTTTGTTTGTTATTATATTGAACTTAGAATGAAACACTGTACTTAAGACACCATAACCTTGGTACATATATTATAGTGTAAAGTAAAAATTGGAAAATAATCAACAAAAAAAGATCCATAAAGATTCTTTAATTAAAATATATTTCCAAGATGTTTGGAAATCACAAAAAATTAAACAATAAAAAAAATCAAATGACACTAATTATGTATTTACATTGATTTATGTTGAGAATATCAAAATTACCAACATTAATTAAGAAAGAAACCCAAGAAGCCTTGAAAATGGTTATACTGAGACTCCTATAGGTCACAATTTTACCATTTCGTAGAAGAATAAGGTTGTTTGGCCAACGAATGAGTCACGATTATGTATTGCTCTGTGTTGATAGCGATCCGACCGATTTTTGATAACTCAGCACGATCGTTAAATTTTAATTTGCTCAGGATCACGCTACGGGAGTCATATTATAATAACACGGCTCCTCTGGCACGTTGTCCCGCTCAGACCTGAAGCACTGCGTTCACCATCACCCCCCACCCGTCACACAGACACTGTATGTAAACCTGAAATGCCTTCAGTCGGATTACCCATAGACACAGCCCACTGAATTTCTCGCCGGATCTTCTCAATGGGTCGCGTTTCCGATCCGGTGGTAGATTCTGCAAGGCACTACTCTTGCTAAGGCCAGGGTTAGCAACTTGAGCCCCGTGAGCTCACCTACACGTCAAGGAGAAGCTGAGATAGCCTCGCTAGGCTATCAGCATAGGTAAGGAAAAAAAAAGTCGGATCATCTAAATTAGATTCTTACGAAATCGTTAATGATGAACGGCCGATAGTTTGACTATTATGTTTCAAAAAGATGGCAAGCCTGAGCGCAATTGCCAATACATTCCTACGCGAATATATAATAGTTAAACGCCGCAATCCTATTCAGGTTTTCTATATCTTCCATAATTCATTTAAAAATACGTAACGTAAAATATAATTCGCTCCTAAACCGATTGTGATACCATTAATGTTACAATAGCTGAAGAAGTGAGTAGTTTAATGGAATCGATGTTTTTCATAAAATTAGCTGCAGGCACAGCAAAACATTATCCTATTTTACTAGTAACATATAAAAACAAACATTTAATTACATTTAGCAACAAAAAAAATTTTCTTCAATACGATAGACAGTCGTTTTCAGGGCCCTTCTGAGCAGGAACCAAACATTTCCTTGCATTTATCAAGTTCATTGTTTTTTTTTTCCAAACGGATATAGGCCCTTCTGAGCAGGAACCTATAGACGTAACGATGTAAATGCCCCAGAGCATGCCCGGCGTGAGGTCGAAGTTATAATTGCATTAGAACAACGGCTTCGCTACCCTTGAAAGTGGAACGCATAATTTTCTTTTGCGACACAAATAGACAGGATTCTGAACAAATCAGTGATCAAGACGCGGATTCGGATGGCGAAATAGAATTAATACTCAGGGAAGCAGGTCCCGTATCTCGATTTTATGAGACTATTATCATAAATCATGTACGCGTCTCTTCATGGATTATCAGATCTATTAGCAACGTATTAAAATCTGCATCTTTGTATACGTTTCATGTTTATTTTGTAAGTTCAATTGCAAAATACGAAAACAACAACTGTTAGAAATTGTAATACAAATTTGCGTAATTAATGGTGGTACCTCTTGTGAGTCCACGCGGGTAGGTACCACCGCCCTGTCTATTTCTGCCCTGAAGCAGTAATGCGTTTCGGTTCGAAGGGTTGGGCAGCCGTTGTAACTATACTGAGACCTAAGAACTTATATCTCGAGGTGGTTGGCGCCTTTACGTTGTAGATGTCTATGGGCTCCGGTAACCACTTAACACCAGGTGGGTTGTAAGCTCGTCCACCCATCTAAGCAATAAATAAAAATAAAAACCTGACTTCATGCATTATCGACAATCGTATTGCATGTAGAATGGATGATACAACAGTTGAAAGGAAACCATTATGGATTTACTGGTCGATTGTATAACTCCAACGTAAATGTGTGCGTATGAATGCATAATGTAATTAAATGTTAGCGACAAATCATCAAGGAAAAAACTTAGTCTTGTTAATGACAATGCTGAGAAGTGAGCCAGTGATTACAGGAAAAGAAGAACGGATTCTTAATATCTTATAGCGACCACTGCACTTATTAGCTGATACAAATAAATAAAATTGAAGTGCCCCTATGAGTTGGCATTAAATGTCATTCATATCACAAATTTCCCGTTGAATAAAACCAAAACATGCATTTCCATGCTTTATTTTAAAATTTGATCGAACTAATCTTCGAAACGGCAAGATCGCTTCCAACGAGACTTTTTTTTGGCAGGCTTGTAAGAGAATGATCTAATTTTGTTTTAAATTTCGATTAAACACTTATTAAGGAATAGTTTTATAGCAACTGCTTAAAAGTTTTTAGTAACGAATTTAACTTAAGTGTCAACCCGGTTACATCTAGTATAATATAGTTCCTGTGTAATACCGTTGTTTACGACCTGGTAGGCGTTGTTGCATTCAGGTAAATTTGATTTATCCCTGTCGTGTCCTAGTTACGCAATGCCCACGTTGTCGGAGCGAGAGCCGCCTGTAATCGTGTGAAAAAAGCTAACGGCCTCGTCATTGCGGGAGGAAATAGCGTTCATTTATGTACGCCTATCTGCGTACCCTCAGGAACAATCTTATGAAGACACGCAGATAATAATAATATAGAAGGTGCTAAATTTATTCCGGATAGCGTTTCTTTGTAAATGTTTATTTTAACGACTCGTGTAACATTAAGTAAAAATCGTAACGCGTTGACGGCTTTATTGGCAGTTATAAAAGCATACATTTATATTCTATTCATAAGTTATTAAAGCCTTTCTTTTTAGTATACTAAATATACGAATTATAAATGTGATGAATCCTACAATAAAGAAACAGCTTCGTCATAATGCTAAGTTCGCATTTTATAAATACATTATCGCTAATACG